AAAAACTCTCGTAACTTTATTCACTTTAATTGTTCGATAAAGAATACTTTCGAAAACAGTCAAGATAACTTCACATAAATGACCGCAAATGACCATTATTTGGCTCACCTGATCAGAGTCGGTGAATCGTTCATCGCAGTTATCGCACTGCAGCAACTTCTCATCAGGATGCCTTCTGAGCACATGCCATAAGAGTGCACCACGTGACGAAAACCGCTGTAACATCGCAACCGTAATTCTCTATCAAATCACCTCTGATAACAACAATGCATTCGAATCATGAGGCTTTCATAACCATACCGTTGATATTTATCGCTATGTGCGTACGATAAGAAAAATATTATATACTCCCATCCATATATGCGCATAAAATTACATATCCTCACGAATATGAATTAATTATAAACGTTTCATAGTTGTTATCGAATCGGAATGATAATTCCAATTATTATCCTCAAACTTCTCTTAGAACTGACAATTATCTCCGAGTACTCTAGTTAATTGCTATTATTTTGTTTGATATACAAGCCACCTCTTAAATCCAGCACTTAACTTCCTCATTTCATCGAAGTTATTTGGATGAAGGAAAAATTTTATCTCATATTCAAATAATATTTCAATCAGTAAAACTATAATATGATAAAGAATTACAGGTCTTGCCTGTAAATAATAGATGATGTGAATATTTACTATAGGTACATTCAATATATATGAGTAAAATGTGCTCGATCGAGCGGAAGCTGTACAGGGCTTGCAATTATCCAACTACCAACTGATGAAATGAATTCACGTCATTTGATGAGCAACATATCGGGGAAAATCTCACAAATTTGAAGGAAGAGGAGTGTCGTTCCCAGATAAATTCATAATTTTCAGTTGATCAATCGATCACCTTCGATTAAAACCTCTCATAAACTCTCGCAAGAATTCTAACGATGAATTAATTCCATTTAGCTCAAAAACTCTCTTAACTTTATCCAATTTTATTGTTTGATAAAGAATACTTTCGAAATCGTTGTCTCGTTTGCTTATACTTCTACTTGTACTTATATTTGCTTACACTCAGCATTAAAATGTATCTCGTTCGCTTTTCATATATTATCAGAAATTTAAATGATTAAGATTCACTCTATTCAATTCGAATGTTCATTTCAAAAATAAGTGCTTGGAATGATACGTTGTAGTCAACAATTATATTAACTATCAGCTAAATGATTCGTTTCAAGTGTACAGAAAGGACCTTAATCGTTACCCATTATCCATTTTTCATTTTTGATAACATCCACTGAACGGACTCAACAATTATTATCACGTTTGAGGTAATATGCAGGTGATAATTATTCATAAGTACTCATCAGAGATACATACCCTCTCAACTCATAAAATTCGATTGAATGCAAACATCGATCGATTCAAAACCTTATCTTATGATTGCATTTGTCATTTTTCTTCTGATATCAAGCGTGGATATGTGAATATCGCTTCAAAAAATTAATGTAAAATACGGCAGTATTGACAGATCAATGAGTGTAAATACCTGAGTGCATCGTTCAGCTGCACACGGATGAATCTTATCGACAGTATCGTTGCTGGATGGCGGTGAGAGAAGATACGATGGATTTTGTCCATCCTCACTTCCATCGTCCGAATCTGTCTTGACACTTTGAGAGGCGGCCAGTTGGGCGTACAATTCGAGCAACTGCTGAAAATTCAATTGACATCGATGACGTTCCCTTATAATAGCATGGAATCACCACTTCAAACCAGTGATACAGCAAACTGTTGCAGTTGTTTCTAGGTTCTGCTCATATAACAGCGCAAACATCATTATGCATATGCAAAAACATGAAATCGCCTTCATCTCTCAGAGTTTCATTCGAAGGATGTCTTTAGAACCGGAGAAATGCCTTAGCTTTCATTCCAAAAACTATCAGAAATCCGAAAATGAAAGGAACATAAAATCATTTACACAAAATATTCATCACAACCAATCGAATTTGAAAACCAGCAAGCAAAAATGTGTCACCAATCAAAATGCGACAGTATTCTCTTTTCATAATTAATGAATAAATACCATATGAAGCGATGAATAAATAAATACCATATGATAAATGCTTGAATGCGATTTTTTTGTTCGTAATTGTTCCTTTCATGAGACAAAAAACATCTTTCTCATTACAGATGCTCATCATATACACACATTTACAAAATCATTCGAAATGATTAATGAATGCAGAAAAATGGCTTGGAGATAAGACTTGGAGGACAACAAAATTTTATGTGTGTGTGTGTGTTATATTTGAATTTTGACAAAGGAGAAGAAAGAAATTCGAAAGATAATCGCAAAAAAAAGACACGAATTACATTATTGATGGTGTACAAATTGTTTTGCGACGCTACCTAAGTGCAATTCATATCGTATCGTGTGGAAAAAATGACAATTAATTTATATTTTGAGACGACTACATTGCTAGGTTTTATCTATCCCTTTTCTCTACGCATTTGATAGGTGACATTTATGAATAACACAAAATATATGAAGATGATGAATGAATGCCACATGATAATCTATTATGAACGCATGTTAGTGTAATACCAATAGGAAACCCAAATTTTGTTGGAAATTGAAATTTTTTACTATATGAAATTCATATTCTAAGTTTTGCTATTGGTCTGGCTATTTGAGCTCAAATTTCTCTCACACCACTGAAAATCCGATACTACAAAGTTGGATTTGGTGAAATAAATCGGATACTGTGAAGAAAACGTCCACCTGCCGTAAGTCAAACAAGGCAAGTCAAATAAGGCAAGTCAAAGAATTTTTGAGATAACCACCGACTTGCTGATGTTGTTGTAGGGTGCCCAAAGGATCGAATAGAACATTCGATTTGTCCTCGAGAATATTTTTGTTCGTCTCTAACACATCCAGAATGCTCTTCCGCGACAGATCAATCGGAGTTGATTCCGTATCAGAGCATGGTGGCGTTATCGACTTCTGAAAGCTCAATATCTTCCAAGTTTTTCTTCAAAAGTTTGCACGTATTCTCACCTTAATCTACAGAAATTTTCTCGCTTTCACCTCTATCATAACAAACGGATACCTGAATAGTTATGAACGGATACATAGTGAGTTGTTCTATTGGCGTTCAATCATAACAATTTCATTTAGCGAAGAAATTTGCCCGTAAAGAAAAACTTTTTTGCAAACACTAACAGAAAACAGAAATTTTCGCCAATCTCATGATAATTGACAAATGAATGATAAGTTAAATGACGAAAACAATCATATGATAATAACGATCATATTAACGATGGTGATGGAACTAATAAAATGGATGATTTATGCTCATAATTATCAATAAATTGTATGAATGCATTATTATTATTATCATTATTATTATTATAAAATATTGAAAATTCCGGTTCATAACCCTATTAAAACAATTTCATTTAATGATATTTATATTTGTCAGTTGTTTGGTAAGCATTCACCAAAGCAGAGACTACAAACACACTTGCGCAAACAAAAATTTCGCTCATACAAACTCCAGTGAAGCTTCACAAAAACGGTTCCATATAGGTGTGAACCAATTTTGTGAATGTTCTTTGTCTCGTCGTCACTTTTTCCTTCATTCCAAAAAAATTCTCGCATGCACAAATAATTCTTCTCCTTTTCCTATACACAGTGTAACGTTTCAGTTGCGTTAGCGGGGAAAAACCCTGGGAAATCCATGAAACATCAACTCAAACTCGTATATTTCGATGCGGGTTTTTTTGCCGAAAGAGGCGAAAATCTCTCGTGATTCGTTAACGATCACCAGTTCGTTCCGTCTAAAGTGGTGATACTCTACGGTGGAACAAACAGTGATCATAAAACGGCAATTTAGCGTAACCATCGGCAAAAAGAGTAGCTGAAAAGAGCTGGTTCTAAACGTGAAACATCAAGCGAACCACAAAGGCAAGGATCGAGTGAATGAGTTTCCGTAGACTCTCCGCAGATTGTTGACAAAAATAAACAAGTGAAAGCAGTTTAGATATCAGAATATGTTTATAAAGTTCTCGGCAATCTCACCTGTTTCCGTGAACAACACACCCGTTTGTGTTCGCTAAACGAATCCACATCGTAGAATCGTGCTGAGCACAAGCCACACGATTGCGACACTTCATTCAGCTGCTGATTTTTGTGTCCTGAAAACAGCAACCAAATAATCATCACACTTCTTAAAGAATTGACTTTCGAAGTAAACCTTCGCAAATCACTCAGTTCTTTGTGGTACTACTGCATAATAGCCATTCTAATAGATTACGATCAAATGCAACTTTGCATGCTGCTATAAAATTTTTGTTTCTCTCTTCGTTGTATCCAAACTCGTTAGTTTTAAAGATAAGTTAAGAAATGAAATGCACGGTAGTATACCGTGTGCGTTGCAAATCTCATTCAAAATTATCAAAATTATCATAAACATTCGTAAAAGTAAACAATTTCATCGGAAACTAGTGAACGGTTTCTATTAAATCAACTCAAATAGAACCGTCCCTCAGTTATATTCGTTCTTGAACAAATACTATAAAATCGCATACCTTTTTTTGCATTTCTTTAGAAAATATTACGATTGAACATTATCTCTTTCGTATTGTTTTTTGCTTGTTCAACTGAGAAATCTCGTTTTTTCTTCAAAAAGAGACTCACTCACTCACGTATCGAATAAAAACGTACAGTCACATCCGCAGAAAAAGACAAATATAAACATAAATCATTGTCATTTTATTAATCGTCATTATTTCAAATCATTTCATTGGTATCAATCTTATTATTACTATCATTACCATTATCAACACTATTATTTTAATAATTTCACCACTACAGAAATCATTCCGGTTGCTGTATGACGGTGCGATAGAATCGATGAACGGTTAGTGTTACGATAATGACATCAATTATGATGAATACAACAGTGATTTCTTCTCGTTATCCTCGCAAAAAACGCATTAAACTAACAAAATCGTCGTTATCGTGCAATGGGAAAGTCGTTAGAAAAGGTCAAAAAGAAAGAAATATCACTAAAAAATAAAGCGCTCAACATCAAAAACAACTAAACCAATCATAAGATTTGAGAAGAAACGAATTAAAAAATCCAATTAAAAAACTCAAAGATTTATCATTACCAATCATAAGATATCATTACGTTTTCATTCGTCAACATATTATTGTTATTATTATTATTATTGTTATTATTATTATTATTAGTATTATTA